GGTGTTGTTTGCGCCGTGTGTAGCCGGTGCCGTGCGGGTGTCAGCTGGGACATGTGTGCGGTGTACCTGGTGGGTGTGTAGCCAGGAACAGCCTGTGTGTGCCTATGCGATGGCTGTGTGGGGGTGCAACACCCGGATGCCCACAGTGTATGTGGCAAAGGGGCTACACACGTTACAGCGGGCTACACCCCACTGGTTTGCCTGTACCTCCCCATGTCAAGGAGCTGTGCACAGGCAGCAGGTATACTGTATAGGAGACACCATATGTGGGGTGTTGTCCCCATAGGGTGTGTGTGTGCGCAGCGCGCTGTAGTCTCCAGGGCAGCAGTGAGCGTGCATGCGGCGGGGTGTACTCCATGGGGTGTGCGCTACAGGCGATGTGCGGCGGGGTGTGCGCTACAGGGGGTAACACACCATGGGGTGTGCGCTACAGGCGGTGACATGCAGTGGGGTGTGCGCTATGGGGGTACGGCATGTCAGGACTGGCCGCCTGTGCGTCCGCCTGTGCATGTACAGCCTGGGCCACCTGACAGCTGGTTGGTGGCCATGAGGTCACCCTTAGTGGCCATGAGGTGGCCCTTGGTGGCCCTGGGTGGACCTTGGTGGACCTGGGTGGCCCTGGGTGGCCCTTGGTGGCACTGAGTGGCCCTGGGTGGCCCTGCGGTGCCCGGGGGGGGCGGGGTGGTGGCCATGAGGTGGCCCTTGGTGGTCCTGGGTGGCCCCAGGTGGCCATGAGGTGGCCATGGGCTCTGTTGCAGGACACTGGGACGTCCCTGGGGTCCATGGAGGGGACAGGCCGGAGCCCCACGGTAAGGGGAGCAACTACAGGGGGGGACAGAGGATGATGATGGTGACGACGATGGTGATGATGATGGTGGTGACGATGGTGATGATGGTGGTGACGATAATGATGGTGACGATGATGGTGATGATGGTGGTGGTGTCGATGGTGGCGGCGATGATGATGATAGTGACGATGATGGTGGTGACAATGATGATGGTGACATGGAGGGGACAGGCCGGAGCCCCACAGTAAGGGGAGCAACTACAGGGGGGACAGAGGATGATGATGGTGGTGACGGTGACGATGATGATGATGATGGTGATTATGGTGGTGGCAATGATGATGGTGGTGATGGTGGTGGCGATGATGATGGTGGTGACGATGATGGTGGTGACGATGGTGGTGGCGATAATGATGGTGGTGGCATCGATGGTGGTAGCAATGATGATGATGATGACAATGATGGTGATGATGGTGGTGATGATGATGATGATGGTGGTGGTGGATGAAGGCAGCCTGGAGCTGAGCCTGGCACTGGTACCGTCCCCTGCAGATGCTGCAGCTGTTGCTGGGGCTGTTGCTGAGCGCGGCGCGGGCCCGGGCGGCTGTGCACGTCAACCTCACTGAGGGTAGGTGGGACGCGGTGCGCGCCCAGATACCCCTACACTGCGTGCAGGCACCCATGTGCACACCCAGACAGCCCTACACCATGCGTATGCACCCACGCACACACTCCTACAATGCATGCATGCACACTCGGACAACCCTACACCATGTGCATGCACCCATGTGCACACTCAGACCCACCTACACCGTGTGCATCATCCATGTGCACAGTCGGACACCCCTACACCACATGCATGCACCCACATACACACCCAGACAACCCTACACCGTGTGCATTATCCATGTGCACACCCAGACACTCCTACAACATGTGGATCATCCATTTGCACAGTCGGACACCCCTGCACCGTGTGCATGCACCCACACCCCCAGACACCCCTACAGGCGCTTGCAGCCCTCTCGGTCCCCACCCAGACACTCCTACACCATGTGCACGCACCCATGTGCACACTCGGACACCCCTACACCGTGTGCATGCACCCACGTGCACACACGGACACCCCTACACCACGTGCATGCACCCATGTGCACACTCGGACCCACCTACACCGTGTGCATCATCCATGCGCACACTCAGATATCCCTACACTGTGTGCATGTACCCATGTGCACACCCAGACACCCCTACACTGTATGCATGCACTCTTGTCCACACCCAGACAACCCTACACCTTGTGCATCATCCATGTGCACAGTTGGACACCCCTACACCATGTGCATGCACCCACGTGCACCCATCCCCCCAAGGTGCCTACACCCCACGCGCCGTCCGCCTGTCCGTCCGCCTGTTCACACGTCCCCCTGTTCCCGCAGGCTGCCAGATCATCCACCCGCCGCGGGACGGGGGTATCCGCTACCGCGGGCTGAGGCCCATGCATGCACACTTGGAGACCCCTACACCGCGTGCATCATCCATGTGAACACTCGGACACCCCTACACTGTGTGCACCATCCATGTGCACACCCAGACACTCCTACACTGTGTGCATGCACCCGTGTGCACACTCGGACACCTCTACACTGCATGCATCATCCATGTGCACACACAGACTGCCTACACCATGTGCATAATCCGTGTGCACAGTCGGACCCCAACACCATGCGCATGCACCCATGAGCACACCCAGACACTCCTACACCATGTACATGCACCCAAGCGCACACCCAGACAACCCTACAGGCGCTGGCAGCCCTCTCAGACCACCCTGC